ACTGAGAGGACACACTTCTCGGTGTATATATACACTGAGAGGACACACTTCTCGGTGTATATATACACTGAGAGGACACACTTCTCGGTGTATATACACTGAGAGGACACACTTCTCGGTGTATATATACACTGAGAGGACACACTTCTCGGTGTATATATACACTGAGAGGACACACTTCTCGGTATATATATACACTGAGAGGACACACTTCTCGGTGTATATATACACTGAGAGGACACACTTCTCGGTGTATATACACTGAGAGGACACACTTCTCGGTGTATATACACTGAGAGGACACACTTCTCGGTGTATATATACACTGAGAGGACACACTTCTCGGTGTATATACACTGAGAGGACACACTTCTCGGTGTATATATACACTGAGAGGACACACTTCTCGGTATATATATACACTGAGAGGACACACTTCTCAGTGTATATACACTGAGAGGACACACTTCTCGGTGTATATACACTGAGAGGACACTTCTCGGTGTATATATACACTGAGAGGACACACTTCTCGGTGTATATATACACTGAGAGGACACACTTCTCGGTGTATATATACACTGAGAGGACACACTTCTCGGTGTATATACACTGAGAGGAACACACTTCTCGGTGTATATATACACTGAGAGGACACACTTCTCGGTGTATATATACACTGAGAGGACACACTTCTCGGTGTATATACACTGAGAGGACACACTTCTCGGTGTATATATACACTGAGAGGACACACTTCTCGGTGTATATATACACTGAGAGGACACACTTCTCGGTGTATATATACACTGAGAGGACACACTTCACGGTGTATATACACTGAGAGGACACACTTCTCGGTGTATATACACTGAGAGGACACACTTCACGGTGTATATACACTGAGAGGACACACTTCACGGTGTATATACACTGAGAGGACACACTTCTCGGTGTATATACACTGAGAGGACACACTTCTCGGTGTATATACACTGAGAGAGATATATAAGCCTCGAAGTAAGCACTGTGTCCATTCTGCTCAGGTATGAGGTTGCAGGACCTGGCTGAATTTCCCCAAGATCCTCCACGCCAGACACTGCTTGCGTGTTCCTATGTCGTTCATGTGAAGGGGATGCCTAACTCCGGTGAAGGGCTCTTCATCCAGGGAATTGGAGGTGCTCTCCACTTCCTTGGATCAAAGCTGATAAAATACAAACTCGATCTCACCCAAAAGTTACAAAATAAAAATGTAAAATTATGCAATATTGTGTAAGTTCTCAGTAGTAGTGTAAGTTCTCAGTACTAGTGTAAGTTCTCAGTACTTGTGTAAGTTTTCCTGGTAATGCTCTGTATACTTAAGGAAATTAAACCATCAGAGTACAAAACAAATTCTGGCCACAAAATAGAGCGAAACACCAACGTCAAAGACCTGGGAGTGATTATGTCAGAGGATCTCACCTTCAAGGACCATAACATTGTATCAATCGCATCTGCTAGAAAAATGACAGGATGGATAATGAGAACCTTCAAAACTAGGGAGGCCAAGCCCATGATGACACTCTTCAGGTCACTTGTTCTATCTAGGCTGGAATATTGCTGCACACTAACAGCACCTTTCAAGGCAGGTGAAATTGCCGACCTAGAAAATGTACAGAGAACTTTCACGGCGCGCATAACGGAGATAAAACACCTCAATTACTGGGAGCGCTTGAGGTTCCTAAACCTGTATTCCCTGGAACGCAGGAGGGAGAGATACATGATTATATACACCTGGAAAATCCTAGAGGGACTAGTACCGAACTTGCACACGAAAATCACTCACTACGAAAGCAAAAGACTTGGCAGAAGATGCAACGTCCCCCCAATGAAAAGCAGGGGTGTCACTAGCACGTTAAGAGACCATCCAGTAAGTGTCAGGGGCCCGAGACTGTTCAACTGCCTCCCAGCATACATAAGGGGGATTACCAACAGACCCCTGGCAGTCTTCAAGCTGGCACTGGACAAGCACCTAAAGTCGGTTCCTGACCAGCCGGGCTGTGGCTCGTACGTTGGTTTGCGTGCAGCCAGCAGTAACAGCCTGGTTGATCAGGCTCTGATCCACCAGGAGGCCTGGTCACAGACCGGGCCGCGGGGGCGTTGACCCCCGGAACTCTCTCCAGGTAAACTCCAGGCTTTCTAATTATTGTATATTTTGTGCATTCGGTGATTTAAAATAATCTTAATCTGAAAGAGAATGAACTTTTTTGGGTTATTTTTCGTTAATTCTACATAATGTTCAGCTTATTCATGTCAACATCTAAAATCATATGTACATTACCTAAATAAATCCTCTTATCCTGTTAGACACTTGTGCCAGTCATCCACCTTTACAGCCTGGTGGCGGTTTTTTTATTGATTTTAATGTTATTAGATGAATTATTTTATCGTTTGAGGTTTTCTTGTGGCTCTGTGCAATACTTTCTATGAGTTTTATACTTTTTGACGCTCCCATTGAGGAGGATGAGGTCAAAAACTATAAATCAAAACTTGTGCCCACCAAAATGCTTTGGTAAAGGCACACTTGTTGTTGCATTTCTGTGCCGCCTTGGTGGAGTTGGTAGTCCAACTCTGCTGGTGCTTTGCTTCAGTGTTCACCTGACCTAAGGCCTTGGAGGTAGAGTCACTGTAGACGTCTGGGTCTACATCTGCCTTGAACATCAGTTTTTTCTTCCCTAGGTCGTTTGTCCTCATCACTGTCCCCGCCCCATGTATTAGCTAGGTCGAAGGAAAGCCTGTTGTTGTTGACTCGGATGGAAGTGTGCGGGTCCCGCACACTACCATGATATCAGTAAGATAAAATAAGATTTTGTCCGTATTTTTAACCCTGGAGGATTAGCCACACAGTATAACCCAAGAAAGTCAGTACTTCATCGAGGACTGTTGTCTTATTTTAATTGTGGTCCTTCATGTTTCTCCCCCAGGATGTGACCCACACCAGTCGACTAACATCCAGGTACCTACGTGCTTGCTAGGTGAACAGGAACAGCAGGTGTAAGGAAACACGCCCTTACCGAGGACTGAACCTTGGGCACTCAGTGTGTGAGGCAAGAACGCTGCCTATCAGGGGCGTTTAAGCCAGGATTTCAATCTCGGAGGCTTAAAATCTGGAAGGGAGGCTTAAAAATAATAAGGTGTTGAACAAAATCAAATAATTCGTTTTTAAAAACATATTTATTCAGTAAACTATCGTGCGTTCTTAGTCACTAGTCATAAAACAGTGAAAATTAGTCATTAATTAAAAATAAAAACGTTTTTGCACCTGGGGAGCTTTTACTCCATCCGTGGTTTTACTCACCTAGTTGTACTCATCTAGTTGTACTCACCTAGTTGTACTACAGTACTCACCTAGTTGTACTCAGTACTCACCTAGTTGTACTCACCTAGTGTACTCACCTAGTTGAGGTTGCAGGGGCCGATACCAAGCTCCTGGCCCCGCCTCTTCACTGGTCGCCTACCATGTGTATTCATCTATATGTACTCGCCTACATGTGATTTCAGGGGTCGTATTTCTGACCCTGGCCCCTGCGTCGTCGCTGGTCGCTACTGGGTTCACACACTCCTGGCTTCGAGAGTCTTGTTGTACCTCTTCTTAAGAAAATGTATGCATCCTGCCTCTGACACTCCATTTTCCAAGTCGCTTCCCTTCCTGACCATCATAAGACTGAAGAAATACTTCCTAACATTCCTGTGACTGATCTGTGTTTTCAACTTCAGCTGTGCCCTCGTGTTCCTGTTTCCCGCCTCTCAAACAATTTGTCCCTGTCCACCCTATCAATTCCTCTCTAGTAAGTTTATTTAGGCACATGTACACATGAGCACAATTATCATAGTGTAAATTATCTAGGATAACCCAAACAAAAGTCAGGTTAGGTAATTTTCACTATGCATGATAATTGTATATTATACATTGTTATTATATCACTGCTAGTCCTTTCCTCTAATATCATCAAGTATGTCCTCAAAGGACCTACCCCTTAGCTTAGGAACTAATCTCGTTTCAAACTTCTACACTTTATCCAATTTCTGGATATTCTTAATAAGGTGTGGGTTCCATAATGGTGCTGCATACTCCAATAAAGGTCTGCCGGGCCTGTCTGGCTCTGCCGGAGTGTAGGCAGAAGGTGTCTACCAGATCTAATTGGGAATTATTGTTCCACTTGGTTTTTCCTTTATAGTTCCCGTCTATATATGGTGTCGCATAGCTCGATTGCTAGAACACTCAGCTCACACATTGAGGTCCGTGGTTCGATCCCCGTTACGGGTGGAAACATTAGGAAGTGTTTCCTTAAGACACTTGCTGGTTCCGAATCTGCACACAGAACTCGCTCCCTACGAGAGTAAAAGACTGGGCAGGCGGTGTAAAAATACCCCCAATGAAAAGTAGGGGCGCCATTAGTACACTAAGAGAAAACACCATAAGTGTCCGGGGCCCAAGACTGTTCAACAGCCTCCCACCAAGCATAAGGAGAATTACCAATAGACCCCTGGCTGCCTTCAAAAGGGAGCTGGACAGATACTTAAAGTCGGTGCCGGATCAGCCGGGCTGTGGTTCGTACGTTGGACTATGTGCGGCCAGAAGTAACAGCCTGGTTGATCAGGCCCTGATCCACCGGGAGGCCTGTTCGTGGACCGGGCCGCGGGGGCGTTGATCCCCGGAATAACCTCCAGGTAGATCAGTAAACTAGATACCAGGGTATTAGTGACGGGTGTGGGTCGCATCCTGGGACAAAATTGACCAAATTTACCCGAAATGCTCACCACAACAAGCGGCTTTCTATATAGTAGTATGTCATTGATGTCAACTATGGTCTGTGTACCATGCACATGTAGAAATAAAGATTATTATTATTATTATTATTATTATTATTATTATTATTATTATTATTATTATTATTATTATTATTATCATTATTATTATCAGTGAGACTTGAGCTTTGATGACCCTTAACACCCACACATCCAGCAACTTGTTGATGTTTTAACTTGTAAATATATTTTAAAAAGGGTGTAAAACTATGTAAGTTCTTGAATGCTTTGTTAAAAATACCTAAACCAGTGTAAATTATCTAGTTGAGGTATGTACATACATTTAAATGTCTGGACCAGACGTGTTAACCCATTTCAATACCCTCAAATGTTAACACATTTAAATGTCTGATTTAAATTAATGTAAACACATTAATTTATATATTTTTTGGTATAAATCATCATTACATGCCATTTTTATATGAAGATTTGTCAGTGTTGCAAATTAAACATAAATAGGCAGATAGTGATAACATGTTATTTCACCAAGGTTTAAATATGATAATTTGCTATATAAGGATAATCAAACAATTTTAAAAGGCTTCCATTACTTGTTTATTATATTGTGTTTTTTTTGTTCTGCATATGCTAGCTGTTGTGATGTGCTTAAGGCATTTATTATATATCTCTTTTGATATATCTATCTTATCAATATATCTGCAACATTATTCTGCATTTCGTCTCCTGTTTTAACTTTTGAAGGTTTCTGTATTTAATCATTTTTCTTGTGGTGGCGGAGGGAAGATGAGGCATTTCAGCAGTTTGTGAATCTAAAACTTATGTTATAACTTTTGACCCCAAGAGTGAACAGTTAAAAATAATCTGTATGACCTAATCAAGTAAACCTAACCTAACCTAACCTAGCTAATCTAACCTAAACTAACCTAGCCTAACCTAGCCCAACGTAAGATAACGTAACCTATCATGACCTAACCTAACCAAAGCAATCAGACTAAGTCATCCCAACCTAAAATATTTTAATCACCCAATTCTAGCAAACCTAACAATCCAAACCTAAACTAATTAATCTCACTGACTAATCTCTACTTGGTGTCCTGGTGGCTAAAGCTCCTGCTTCACACACGGAGGGCCCGGGTTCGATTCCCGGCGGGTGGAAACATTTTGACACGTTTCCTTACACCTGTTGTCCTGTTCACCTGACAGCAAATAGGTACCTGGGTGTTAGTCGACTGGTGTGGGTCGCATCCTGGGGGACAAGATTAAGGACCCCAATGGAAATAAGTTAGTCCTCGATGACACACTGACTTTCTTGGGTTATCCTGGGTGGCTAACCCTCCGGGGTTAAAAATCGGAATGAAATCTTATCTCTTATGGATGCTGCACTAGTTAGCTTGTAGTCCTTTGATTGTTTTTAAGCAAATGAACATACAGAGTTTATATAAGCATTACCAGTATTTCAGAGAACTGTTTTCATGGTTCAAACTAGTAAAAATTTTAAATTTGTTTTATTGCAAAACTGTTTTCACTCTACGGGGGTTCATTATAGAGCTCATAAATCGAAAGATCCTGGACTTTCATTCTGGGGAAAGATGAAGCATATCTTCTTATGCTCAGTAATAACCCACATGGATACAGAAACTCTGTAGCATGTTCACCGGTCACAGAAACTTGGGAGAGTAATTGATCTGTATACGTATTTCGACCCCCTTCTGGGATCCTCTTCAGCAGATGTAGAGGATCCTAGAAGGGGGTCAATATATACAGAACAATTAATCTCCTGAGTTTGTCTCCATGTGGGCTATTATTGAATATTGACAAGTGTTTATTGCACTTTACTTATTCATATCTTCTTGTACCCAGTAAAAAGAGACCCCAGTGTTCAAATTCAGATTCAAAATTCAAATTTTTTATTGCGTTACATAGTATACAATGTATGATTTATATGTTGTTAAGGACGAAGAAAACCACTAACGTGCCTGAGCATTTTGTTCAGTTAGTCAACTATTGTGCATCACATGCTAGGTGATAGTCAAATATGATAGACTTGGTGGAACTTTTTACCCCTGGTGGCTCGTCCGTGTATGACACTGATACATTTTATACAGTTCAGAACTGTATTTCAGTATTCATCTGGTAGCAGCACTTCCTCTAAAATGTCTTGGGGTTTAGCTGAGGTATTCTTTGCTACAGAAATGCCCAAAACACATCACATCACAACAACGTCGCGTTTACTCAGTATAGATTTGATTAACTGATGAAAATTAATGTTATGAATCATAACTGAATAACTACAGAACTGTTTTCTGTATGCCTAACAGGTTTATCTTTTGATTAAACCTTTTTCCTAGTTTACCTGGAGAGGGTTTTGGGGGTCAATGCCCCCGTGGCCCAGTCTGAGACCAGGCCTCATGGTGGATCAGGGTCTGATCAACCATTTCATTCTATATGTATGATTAGTTACAGACTTTAAATGGAATTTTCTACTCACAGGATACATCAGGAGGGGATTGGAAGTGTCCATGGCATAACCATATTGAAAATGGAAAATGAACTAAATCTTTGAGACCAGCTCCATGAGAATCTTTTTTTTTTTTTTTTTTTTTTTGGATGACCCACTCATGTTTAAGCAAAGAAAACAGTTGTTTGACTGTTCTGCAAGTACAAATGGTGAAAGCAGTTATTTTTTTGGTGCCAGTAAGTGTTGGTTTAAGAATTTTAAAGCAAAGCTGTACAGTGTTCAGCTGATAATAGTCAGTAGTACCTGCAAATTTTGGGAATATTATTATTATTATTATTTTTTTATAAACTGGCCATCTCCCACTGAGGTAGGGTGGCCCAAAAAAGAAGAAACATTTTCACTATCACTCACTCCATCATTGCCTTGCCAGCATATATGATTCCAGTTTTCTTCATAAATATATTTTTAAAGGTTTTATATTTCACCATATACTGTATATATTTGAAGTTTAATTTATTTAAAACAGTAGTAATAAATTATTTTTTCACTACTATATTTGGGAATCTTCCAATATTTTAATATTTCTATGACAGTGTGCAGCATTTTTAATTTTGCATGCTTTTTGCTTTTTCCCATAGTATCTGGAAATAGAAGAATGCAAAAAAATTATTCATTTGTTTGTGTGTGGACTTTGCATGCACTTGTCACATGGTCATATGCTGTATATTAAATTAAATTTATAGGGAGTGCCTCTGTTAGTATACCAGCTGCTGTATACGAGACTTATTCAGTAATGTATAATAAACCATCATATAACAATGCTTTACTGAACTGTATAATACCTTCTGTTAAATTTATTATATAGTACAGCCTCTCCTCACTTAGCGACATACTCATTTACCGACGCCTCGGACTTATGACCAGTATTTATACCTAAATAATGTATGTTAGAGCTGATTTCCTCTATTCTGTTTATTTCAATATACAGTACACTACTGTATAAACATATTTAAATACGTATATACCAGAAATGTTATAAATGGTACAAAGGTGACATTAAAACAATATCAAAGATGGCTGACACAAACCCACTACCATTATAGTATGCTCCTCATTTAGTGACGAATTCACTTAACAACATGGTTTTAGGAATTGAACTCCTTCGTTAAGTGAGGAGAGACTAATAAATTATGTTAAATAAGCAGTTCAAGCATACAGTATTTTATTTTTATCCCAGCAGTTCAAGTAGCATGAGAATGCTGTCACTGCGGCCTTGGGTGAATTCCACAGGACGATTAGCACATAGAAGTGCTGCAGGACAATGGGTCCATCGAAACATCCCAGGACGATGGGTACATCAAATTACCACAGTTTTACCATCAACAGAGGTTCCAGGACCTAAGTGTTATCCTCTTATTGGCTCTCTCATGGACTTGATCACTAGTAAAGGTGCGCAGTTAGTCATTTATTTAAAAATAATTCAACTAAAAAATTTTTCCTTGTTTACAGTTTTTTGTGGGTATTGAACATTTGTACAACTTTTTCATCATTAGTCTTATTTTGCATAATTTGATAGCACCTACTATAATAAAATGCAAAATTATACTATATTTTTCATTGGTAGGGCTTATTAAGAGTATATCTCAGTATTATATGCTGTGCTCTAACATATATAGGATAGACCATGTGCCAGATGCCTTACATTCATAAGTTTCCTCTATTTATCCTCTTGTTTGTATTAACATATTCTTCAGCTGTGTGTTTGAAACATGCAAGAAGCATTGCATCTTCTAACCACTCATACATATAAGGTAATTTATTAGTGGGTCCAGAGCACAGATTAACCAACAATAAGAGCTGTAACAAAGTTGAACAAGAAAATTTTAACAAAATTTTATTGACTTGGATGAAGTGGCATACGCATTTATTATAATAATGTTTTGCTTAAGGGAAGCTTTATCAGGTCATAGAGAAAACATGTAAACTACTTTTTGTAGAAGCCCTCTGGGTCAGGTGAAGAGTGAAGCAAGGATCCAGGTTGAGGGACAACTTCGGTAGTTGCTTAGACAAGGTTATGTACTGGGCGTGAGGTTTTGTAAGCATGACTGCACCCTAGTTTTCTTCTACAGTGGTGGTTCTTAACCAGTGGTACCATTACCCCTGGGATGGGTGTGAAAAAGCGGAGCGGGGATAGGGGTATGAGACTGAATTGTACAAATTAAACACTTCCATCCAAGGAACAGGAATTAATATGATCACTGTCAGAAATGTTGTCAGCCTTCACCCAAAACATGTAGATTTGTATAAATCACATTTAGAATGGAAATTTTGCTAATTTCCTCTTTTTCAATGAGGCTGCTGGTGCGGGAGAAGAACTGTCTATCGTGACTGAAGTGGCTCATCATTTTCAGGAACTGATTCTTTCTTTCCAGGGTTATTTTCACCATGGAATAAAGAAGCTTTCTGAGAAAAACTAAAGTTTTAATTAAGTTATTTTTGACAAGGGTTTATGAAAAAATTAAAACTGAGGAAGATATTGGTCACTGAGAAAGATTAGGAACTACTGCATTATTGTGTTGTAGATCTTGATGTAGCTGGCTTTGATACACTTTCTTCTGACCCTATTACTTTCATGCACATCGTTGAATCTTGCACACAAATATTATAGTCATACAGCAGTAAGAAATGATGATAATTTAACCCTTTCAGGGTTTCTGATGTACTAGTACGGCTTATGCAGCAGGATTATTGACGTACAAGAACACCTAAATTCTAGCGCCTTCAAATTTAGCGAGAGAAAGCTGGTAGGCCTACATATGAAACAATGGGTCTATGTGGTCAGTGTGCGCAATATAAAAAAAAATCCTGCAGCACACAGTGCGTAATGAGAAAAAATAAAACTTTGACTGTGTTTTTGGATTAAAACAGCAACTTTGCACTGTATTTTCATATGGTATTTATGGTTGTATTCTAGTTTTCCTGGTTTCATTTTATAGAATGGAAGACATATTACAGAAATTGAGATGATTTTGATTGGTTTCACAATGAAAAGTACCTTGAAATTGAGCTTGAAGTAGCAGAAATGTTCGATTTTTTACCAAAGTTCAAAAGTAAACAAATCATGCCAAGCGTCCAATACACATCAACTGGTGAGTCTAATATTCTTTCACAAGTGAGCTGATATTATTTATACCATTTCTACACTAATGCAGTAGTCTGCATAACAGTAAATCTTTTATTTTTTGTGAGAATAAAAATTCAAAGTGGAAAGCAAAAGAAATGTAAGAGGGGGCTGGGGACATGACTAACGAACAGAGAACTTATGCTAGTGCCAGGAATGTCTGTCTTGTTTATTCTGGACCCTATTTGGAAATTGGCATCTTCTGAAATTTGTGTAAAATTGGCAAAATTGCCAATTTCTAACCACTTTATTGGATAGTTGAAATTGGTAAATGGGTCATTTCTTGTACTCATTCAATAGGAAAAATGGAGTTCTAGCTAAATAAATATGATTTTTGTCGACTAGTACACAGGAATTGGCCGAAAATAGGGCTCAAAGTGGGCGAAATCGCCGATGCTTAAACATCGTCGAGACCACTGACTTCACGAGAGCATAATTCCGTAAGTTTTTCCATCAAATTTCATACTTTTGGGGTCATTGTGATCGGGAAAAGATTCTCTATCATTTCATAAGAAAATTAATTTTTTTTTTTCTGAAAAATTTTCGACCCTGAGGACGTGTTTAGGAGAGGGCCTCTCGGCCCTGAAAGGGTTAAATGACTGATTTTTAAACTGTACAATATATTCATCTGAAAAAAGTTTTGAGTAAAACTTAGGTAACTGTAAAGAGTAACTTGAAGTAGTTGCAAAGTTAATGCAGACATGCTTAAAAGCAGGAAAGGAGAATGTTTAACTGGGGGTAGTAAATTGTAAAATATATAGATTTTTCATTTATTTTAGTGTCATGTCTCCTTGTACCTGCTGGCCAGTTCACCTAGCAGTAAAACAGATGCCTAAAAAAATTTTGTCCAAGGACCCCAAATTAACCACATTGTTCATTTTTTTTTTACTCTGTAGGATATTAACCCTCTGTCGTTTATAATCTAAAGAAGTGTCTTCTTTTACTTCATTATATGAATAGGCTATTGAAAAATCTAATTTTGTTTTTACTAGACAGTTCCATAACTGAAATATACAATCAGGTTATAGAATGACAAGGAAATTCATGAACAACTATTTATAGATTTTCCTATGGGCATGTGTTTGATGTTTCATTTTCTGTAAAACATATAAAGCAGCAAATGATATATATTTTTTTTTTTACATTTCTTTTAGATTCACTATAGTATATTGTATTTTAAAGGTCTTCAGTATCATTTAAAGTGAAACATTTCCAATCCTTTTTCTTATTGTTAGACATATTTCCTAACTTTTTTTTTATTTGATTTTCCAGTTGTTTGTATTTCTTTTTTAAATACAGTACTGTACTATCAGAGGCCACACTGAAATGACAGCTACTGCAAAACATTTATGCTATATACAAAGCAGCATTTAGAATTATAATTGAAGGAAAAGTAGTTTGTACTAAAATAGTCACCTGAAGCGATGATAATGGCTATTACCCAAAGTGACCATAGATTTTTTTTATGATATACAGCACAGTAACTAAGTAAAGAAAGATTTCATAGGAATACTTTGTCTGTACCTTTCTGTAATAGACTTATAACACTTGTAAAACAAGTCAATTCATTATTTTTTTTTTTCATTACTGAATTTACAGTGCTAGTCACAGCATTATGCTGCTCACCTCTCACACATATACCAAAACACAAACACATACGATGAAATATTATAATATATATATTTGCACACTTACTGAGGTTTTAATACTTGGTGCTGCATCCTCTATGCTTAATCACGTCCCTCAGCCATGTATTAAGACTCTCTCACAAATTCTTGAGGGTTTGAGGGAGGTATATTATTCCATGCCTCATGTTGAGCATCCTCCAGCTGTGGGATGGAACTGATATCCTTGCCCAGTTAACTTTATTTCACTATTGACCAGAGGTTCTCAATAAGGTTTAGGTCTGGGGAATTGCCTGGCCAGTCATTAAAGAACCTCACTTCACAGTCCTTAAGCCACTGAACTACAGATTTGGCGGTATGACACGGTGCACTGTCTTGCATAAAAACCATAGCCCCACACTTGTCAAACGCCTCAGGTAAATTGTCACACAATAACTCCAATTAATTATAGTGGTTCATATACTGGTTTTTGGGAAGCATAACAATGAAACACCCCCAAACCATGAGCAGGTCTGGGTGTTTGGTGGTCCCACAGGTGTAGCATGGGTCTAGCACAGTGATTCTCAACCAGGGGTAAATTTAACCCTTGGGGGTAAAAAATTACATGGTAAGGGGTAAATATGTGACGCACAGTGGAATCTCGGTTTTCATATGCCCTAGTAAAACTATAGTTATTCTCTATACATAAAATGTATTTTTTGTTAAGATTTCTCCTGAGAAATAGTGTAAATCCAATTAATCTGTTCCAGATACCCAAAAATATTAACAGAAAATACTTTTTATAAAGAATAACTATAGTTTTACATACAGACTAGGGCATACGAAAACCAAGGTTCCTCTGTACCTGATAATTGAATAATTTATTTCTGACCACCTTGTTTTTCTGTCCCTTTATGATGGCGATAATTTTTTTGTATGAAAGTAAGGGGGTAAATGGAGAAATACATCAAGCCAAGGGGGTTAATGATGGAGGAAACATTGAGAATCCCTGGTCTAGTGGGTCACTATCTCTGGGCCGGTACATGTCCCCCATGGTTACAGGTGACGGTGAAGGTTGCTTCATCACTCCACAGTACTTCAGACCACTGTCGAGGATTCCAGTAAAGATATTTCTTTGCATAATCCAGCCTATGTTTTGTCTGTGGCTTGGAGAGGATCAGTTTCTTAACCTGGCGGTGACTACTGTAGCCTAGTTCTGACACATGTCTGTTAACAGTTCTTACAGAGACCTTTGAGAGACGATGTGGGTTCTTTTCTTTCAGTTCTCTAGCAATTATCTTCGGCAAACTCTCTAACTGCTTCTTTAACACAGTTAAGGTATGAACAGATGTCTTCTTCAAGGGGCCAGGCCGAGGGGCAGACGGTAACTCGACACCGCCACCAACCTTGAAACACTGCACCCAGTTCCTCACTGAATGCTCACACACCAACATTCTCCAGTATTTCTTTCATCTGGTGCCCAGCTTTGTGAAGCCCTATGGTTTGAGCTATAGTTTCAGGCGTTAAAGACTTCCTTTCACCCATAATCTAACATGTATAGCCCCAAAACGAAAGGGAACACCGGACAAAAGATGGGGCGGATGAGAGAGAAAAGTGCAACACTTCCTCTCACCACAGCAGCCATGTGAACACTGAGGAGTCACTGTGGAGTGTGGCAGTAAGCCATGACATCATGCTAACGGCTGCTACCTGGCATAATGCACTGACGAAAAAATACCTTACCCCTGTATGGTAGGCCTTTGATTTTGGTCACGGTATTATGCCAGGGTGCTCACCCAACATAATGCCGTGACTAGCACTGTATAAGCTGAGAGTTGTTACCATGTCTCAGTTCATTTTTAACCCTTAAACTGTCCAAACGTAGATCTACGTCCACGTGCGGGGGGCTCTGAACGTAGATCTACGTTTTTTTTTACATGCTTTCAAATGGGGAAAATCAAGGTCGGAGCGCTACACACGTGAACGTAGATCTACGTTTGGACAGTTTAGGGTTAAAATCCTTGTTCTATCTAAGGTATACTTCCATTCCCCAGGATGCCATTCACAACATATGAGTATACCTATTTACTACTAAATCAATGGCTTTTCCCACCCTGAGATCAGTCCCAGGTTCCTCAGTTGTGAGCCGAATGTGCTGCCTCTCAGCTCTGAGAAGAGGTGTTAATAAATATGAAAACAGTTTTAATCATTTGAGTTTCATAGTTGTTAGAGAATAACAATTGAATTTGTTATAGATATACAATATTAACAGAATTTATTTAATTTGGGATTTTCATTTACTTTTCAGGTTTTGACAAAGAAAATTCGTATCGTTATTTCATGAAACTCTTTCAAATATATGGCCCAGTTGTGAAGGTAAAATTTCCAGGTCAGTCTACAATGGTGCTGATCCTGAAACCTGAAGATGCTGAGAAAATTCTACAACTAACGAAGGATAATCCAGTGAGAAAATCAATGGAGGCCCTCAAGAAGGCCAGATACATTAATCCTTATTATGAAAAGAAAGCAGGTATTGTAGTTGAGTGAGTAATCAATTCGTGTGTTGGAGTTGTACAGTCTTTCCTCTTTTCTTACTGAAATAACTGTTGTCCTCTCTGCTCACATTCTCAATTCAAGAATGTGGCAATAGATTCACTTGTGTTCTAACTTAATTAGGTCTTCTTTTCATTTTTTTACCATGCAAGTACAGAAAACTATGGTGTGTTCTTTACAAGAGCTTGAGCCAGACATGGCCTGCAGGATGTCAGAGGAATAACAGTGTACATAAGACTTTCCCAGGATAATATGTTGAAAATGCTGGTTAATAATGTTAAATATTCTAGCATCCAGAATCAGCACATGGCGGATCAAATTATCTGCAAACCTGTAGAGTCTTCTTGACCTAGAATATGATAAATATGTGGCCAGTACTAAAAGTAGGGAGAGGAATGCCTCCTGTAATGTATGCTGAACACAAGACTGGTGAGGCATTTCAAGACCCTAAATCATCAGTCCCCCAGCAGTGTTAATATAGGCATGGCTCTTTGACCATGGGATCTACTTTATCTTCATACATTTGTAATACCTCTGTGAGTGTTTCTAGACACAATGTCATTCATCATCTGGGATTGCATTTGTTATCTGCAAGCTTTTTGCCCATCTGTGTCGAAAGCCTGTATGTGGAATTTAATATTCCTTCATTATGAGATTGTTTAGATAACCTTTGTCTCTGTTATTATCTTCATTTCTATGGGATTCATTTTTCTATGATCTTAAAAATTCTGATAAATGTTAATAAAGCTTGTTTTAATTATTCCCTCTTTATTACATTCCATCAATATACACTTGCAGAATTTTTTTTCATAACTTTTTCTGCCTCATGTTTAAGTTCTTCCTATCTTCTACTTCTTCCTCTCACCTCAATATATTCTGTAAGTCTCACTTCACTGCTTTAGACTCCAGCTCAATCTTTCTTAATCAGTTATTCTCGTATATTACTTCAGTTGCATCATCAGATGGGAAGGGAATAATGAACTGATGTTACACTAGTCACATGTGGTGTATGAAATGAGGTAATGTGTAGATTATGGACTGTGGTAATCCTGTCACATCTTTTCCTATGCCTTGTTAAGGTCCATCATTTCTTACTCTTTTGAACACTCAGATAGCTTAATGGAAAACGCATATCTTGTGGTAATGTGATTTCAGTGCAGATTCCTCCTTACCTTCCTGTACAAGAAAATACACACACTACTGCCATTACAGTAGGACCCCTGTATCTGTGGGCTCAGTATCCGTGGTTCCAGTTATCCACTGTTTACCATTAATTTTGCTTAATAATGGCCTCAAAGTCCAAAAGTAGTGATCGTGGAAGTTCTTCAATGCCAAAGAGAAGTTGTGAAGTGCTTTCCATCGGCAAAAAAGTGACAATTCTTCACTTATTTTGCATAATTTATCAGTTAAACTTTATAATAGTTATGTATGTAAACAAAAAAGACTTATATGCAGTGGAACCTCGGTACTTGAAATTAATTTGTTCCAGAAGAGTGTTTGAGTATTGAACAAATTTTTCCCAACCAATTTTCTTTTTTGTTGGCTGTCATCACTAATCATCTTAGGCCCCATGGTGACTTATTTATAAAAATAATATGAAAAACACCAAAAAATTAAAAAAAAAAAAACATAGTTTACAGCGAAGTTCTGGCAGGTCATGTTTGTTTGGTTTGAGTGCCGAGCAAACGGTCAACTGCCAAGCTATTTTTGTACCGAACAAAGCATTTGAATACCGAATTGTTCGAGTAGGGAGCTGTTCGAGTACCAAGGTTCCACTGTATAGGGTTTGCTACTATGCGGTTTCAGTATCCACGGCAGATCCTTGGCAGGTAGTCCCCATGGATACAGAGGCTCTACTGCACTCAACTTTCTTGATGTCAAAGCCTTGAATGTAACTGTCCTTTTTTTTTTTTTTTTTTTTTTAACACAACGGCCATTTCCCACTGAGGCAGGGTGATATACAGTTATACATCCAAAAATGTACTCAACATTTTGAATATAATACAGTGGACCCCCGGTTAATGATATTTTTTCACTCCAGAAGTATGTTCAGGTGCCAGTACTGACCGAATTTGTTCCCATAAGGAATATTGTGAAGTAGATTAGTCCATTTCAGACCCCCAAACATACACGTACAAACGCACTTACATAAATACACTTACATAATTGGTCGCATTCGGAGGTAATCGTTATGCGGGGGTCCACTGTATACTGTACGTTATAATTTGTTTTGACTAAATGATATCTTTTCAGAAATGGTGAGGAATGGTGGCGAGTGAGAAGCAAAGTTCAAGCACCAGTTTTAAAACCACAGAATGTCCTCACCTACCTTAAAGATATGGATCAGGTGACACTAGACTTTCTAGACCGGTGAGTATAGGCACTAGTTTCAGATACAAAAATAGAGGTAAATAATGATCAGTTAGCAACATTAAGAAATGCTGACTGTGTTCTATGTCACTTGTGAGTTTAGCACTTAGTTCTGATTGTAATATAATAATAGAAAATGCTGATAATATAGTAGTATAACTTTTGCAGCTATACAAAGTACAAGAGAGAATTTGCTCAGTGTATGCTTGAAAATATAGTTGAGGAAATTTGGGAAACTTAGAAAATGTGGTTGAGTAGGCTTATAGTTAATCTTGGGTTAAATCAATCATATCTGTTTAGGAATATTTTTTTCTATGATATGTGAATATTGTATAGAATATACGAGATGTGGACTTTGATCTAGATTCTGTTAGTGCAATAAATTGCTGTATTTTAATTTTTGATACTGCCTAGGACCTTGTTTTGGGGCTGAGAAATGCCTCCATGCAGTCCCATCTAAACATGACTTTGTAATCAGTTATTTGTGATGTGACTTACCATAGGAAAGTGGCTTGCGTAAAAGGAAGACTTAATAAAATATATATTCCTACTACGTGTGAATCTTTCATTAGATCTGCACTTCACTATAGTCCCATTTTTCTGTCTTGGTAGGATATTTTACCCAGCTTGTCACTTATGATCACAGTTGTAATAGTTGGACAAGAGAAATAAGTGTATGGCTTTTCTTAACTTTATTTGTTTTCAGAATTTCCCGACTGAGAAACAGTGAAGGGCAAATAACTGTAAATTTCCAAGAAGAATTGAGCAAATGGGCCTTAGAGAGTAAGTAATGTTATTTGATGGACACATTCTTTTATGCCTTCATTACAAGATATGTAGCTGTTAGACACCCAGGTGAAGGTATTAGAAGGCAAGCTACTTATCCATGAAACTTTAAGAATGGTTTACATAGTATTACATTGATGTAAATATAAAGATTTTCATCCCCTCAAGATAGGTAGGTGTCTTGATGGCAGCGAGGGGGCTCTCAGTTTAAGGAATTAGATCCATCTTCTCCTCACTTTGACATTTTGGGTTTTCCTAGGTAACTGACATGATGTATGATAAATGTACTTATGTGTGTACCTGTGCCTAAATGTACATATTTACTTACTAAACCTTATAACCTCACATTCCCCAGGTGCTGTATGACGTCTTTGGGTTAAGAACTTCCCCATAATACTAATAGTAATAATAATGGTAATAATAATCTCAGTATTTCTTTCCACATTGTTACTTAATTTTGAAAGATAATGTATTTTTTATATTGAATCGGTATATGAATAAAAAAAATCTTCAGGTTTTAAAAATTTAATTTTTTTTTTTTTTCAACAAGTCGGCCGTCTCCCACCAAGGCAGGGTGACCCAAAAAAGAAAGAAAATCCCCAAAAAGAAAATACTTTCATCATCATTCAACACTTTCACCACACTCACACATTATCACTGTTTTTGCAGAGGTGCTCAGAATACAACAGTTTAGAAGCATATACATATAAAGATACACAACATATTCCTCCAAACTGCCAATATTCCAAACCCTTCCTTTAAAGTGCAGGCATTGTACTTCCCATTTCCAGGACTCAAGTCCGACTATATGAAAATAACCGGTTTCCCTGAATCCCTTCACTAAATATTACCCTGCTCACACTCCAACAGATCGTAATTAAGTCAAAATCTTGTGGACCACATCGACAATGAGAAGATCAAGAGCCACTGTTAGTAAATTTGCAGCGCTGTATGACCCTAGTAGGTTTAGCGCTTTGTTTTAATTATAGTAACACAGTTACTTTTTGCTGATGATACTGTGCTTATGGGAGATTCTAAAGAAAAGTTGCGAAGGTTAGTGGACGAGTTTGGGAGTGTGTGTAAAGGTAGAAAGTTGAAAGTGAACATAGATAAGAGCAAGGTGATGAGGGTGTCAAATGATTTAGATAAAGAAAAATTGGATATCACATTGGAGAGGGGGAGTATGGAAGAAGTGAATGTTTTCAGATATTTGGGAGTTGACTTGTCAGTGGATGGGTTTATGAAGGATGAGGTTAACCATAGAATTTATGAAGGAAAAAAGGTGAGTGGTGCATTGAGGTATCTGTGGAGACAAAAAACATTATCCATGGAGGCAAAGAAGGGAATGTATGAAAGTATAGTGGTACCAACACTCTTATATGGGTGTGAAGCTTGGGTTGCAAATGCTGCAGCAAGGAGGCAGTGGAGATGTCCTGTCTAAGGGCAGTGTGTGGTGTAAATATTATGTAGAGAATTTAGAGTGGAAATTAGGAGGAGGTGTGGAGTTACTAAAAGTATTCATCAGAGGGCTGAAGAGGGGCTGTTGAGGTGATTTGGTCATTTAGAGATAATGGATCAAAGTAGAATGACTTGGAGACCGTATAAATCTGTAGGGGAAGGAAGGTGGGTAGGGGTCATCCTCGAAAAGGTTGGAGGGAGGGGGTAAAGGAGGTTTTGTGGGCAAGGGTCTTGGACTTCCAGAAGGCATGTGTGAGCGTGTTAGATAGGAGTGAATGGAGACGAATGGTTTTTGGGACCTTACGAGCTGTTGTAGTGTGAGCAGGGTAATATTTAGTGAAGGGATTCAGGGAAACTGGTTATTTTTATAAAGCCAGACTTGAGTACTGGAAATGGGAAGTCAGTGCCTGCACTTTAAAGGAGGGGTTTGGGATATTGATTGTTTGGAATGGTATGTTATATATCTTTATACATGTATATGCTTCTAAACTATTGTATCTGGGTGCCTCTGCAAAGACAGTGATTATGTGTGAGTGAGGTGAAACTGTTGAATGTTGATGAAAGTATTTTCTTTTTGGGGATTTTCTTTCTTTTTGGGTCACCCTGCCTCGGTGGGGGATGGCCGACTTGTTGAAAAAAAAAATAATAATAGTAAATTTACAATTTAGGTTCCATATGTTTAGGTTCAGTACCAGCTGTTATTAGTCAGGCTTTTTTTTTTTAATACACAGCATATATATTTATTTCTTTGGCTAATATTCTATAACTGGAGTATACCTGAAGAGGGTTTTGGGGTCATCTCCCCTGCAACCCGGTCTGTAACCAGGCCTCATGGTGGATCAGGGCCTGGTCAACCAGACATACAATCCACAGCCCGGTTGGTCAGGTACTGACTTCAGGTGCCTGTCCAATGCCTTCTTGAAGAGAGCCAGGGATCTATTGGTAAAATCCCTTATTCTTTATACAGTGGACCCCCGCATAACGATGGCATCGCATAGCGATTTTTCCGCATAACGATTACTTTTATCGCAAAATTTTTGCCCCGCATACCGATTAAAAACCCGCATACCGATTTTCGTCCGAGACGCGTCCAATGTGCCCTCACATGTGCCGGACGTCCCATTGTTTACCAGCCAGCCTCCGCGGTAACATCCAAGCATACACTCGGAATATTTCGTATTACAGTGTTTTCGGTGGTGTTTCTGGAAAATAAGTGACCATGGGCCCCAAGAAAGCTTCTAGTGCCAACCCTGTGGTAAAAAGGGTGAGAATTAGTATGGAAATTAAGAAAGATTTTGAAGGGTTTGGGGCTAACCCTGAGAAGCCTATGCCAGTTGTGGAATCCATTGTGCCTACTTCAAAGATTAAGGAAATGTGTGCAGAGTGGTTTGAACTGCAAACCTTTATAGATGAAAATCACCCTGACACAGCTGTTGCAAGCCGTGCTTGTGACTATTTCAATGACAATGTTATGGCCCATTTTAGGAAAGTCTTGAAGAAACGGGAGGTACAGAGCTCTATGGACAGATTTGTTGTGCGACAGAGGTCCAGTGACTCTGAAGCTGGTCCTAGTGGCATTAAAAGAAGAAGGGAAGTAACCCCAGAAAAGGACTTGCTACCTCAAGTCCTAATGGAAGGGGATTCCCCTTCTAAACAGTAAGAAGATAATGCTCTCCCCTCCTCCCATCCCATCAATCATCACCAGATCTTCAATAAAAGTAAGTGTCATGTAATTGTGCATGCCTTTTTCAGTTTGTGTGTATTAAAATTAACATTTCATGTGGTAAAAAAAATTTTTTTTCATACTTTTGGGCGTCTTGCACGGATTAATTTTATTTCCATTATTTCTTATGGGGAAAATTAATTCGCATAACGATTATTTCGCATAACGATGAGCCCTCTTGCACGGATTAAAATCGTTAACCGGGGGTCCACTGTATATGCTGGGAGGCACTTGAATAGTCTTGGGCCCCTGACAATTATTGTGTTGTCTCTTATTGTGCTAGTGGCTCCCATGCTTTTCATTGGGGGGGATGTTACATCATCTGCCAAGAACCAGAAGATAAATAACTCCTGAAGGTTTTAGTTCTTTTACTCTTTAGTAAACTGGAGTGACAAAGCATAGAAAAATAATTTCCACCATTTTTCTTTAATTCATTCCTTAAAATAATTTTGTGTTATTTTTAAATTAAAAACTTTCATTTTGCATTGGAGAATCACACTACACAGTATATAGTAGAATATTTATTTCAGGTATCTGTCTTGTTGCCTTGAATCAGCGAGTTCAGTGTTTTGATCCCAGTTTGCCTTCTGGTTCACAGCCAGAACTGATCGTTAAGGCAGCTCAGACCCTCATGAATGCTGTTAAGGAATGCGAAACTGGTTTGAAACTATGGAAGATTTTTCCTACAAAAACATTTACACAGCTCAAAGATTCGATGGAGATATTAACAAAGTAAGACTCCTATTTTTTATATATGTACTGTACAGGTATTTGGTTGTAATATAAGTGGGAGATAGTTAGCATGTGTAAAAAAAAAGTTTATTGTAGTATAAAAAGAAAATATCTCTTGGTGCTGGCAATACCCAGATATCCAGCAATTCCTGCATACCCAGCATTATCTGGGTATCCAACAGTGCTCTGTAAATAATGCTGATAAATACTAATGTTAATAGTACTATTCTACTTCTTCTTTCAACAAACCGGCCGTATCCCACCAAGGCAGGGTGGCCCAAAAAGAAAAACCAAAGTTTCTCTTTTTAAATTTAGTAATTTATACAGGAGAAGGGGTTACTAGCCCCTTGCTCCCAGCATTTTAGTCGCCTCTTACAACACGCATGGCTTACGGAGGAAGAATTCTGTTCCACTTCCCCATGGAGATAAGAGGAAATAAACAAGAACTAGAAAGAAAATAGTAGACAACCCAGAGGGGTGTGTGTATATGCTTGTACATGTATATGTAGTGTGACCTAAGTGTAAGTAGAAGTAGCAAGTCGTACCTGAAATCTTGCATGTTTATGAGACAGAAAAAAGGGCACCAGCAATCCTACCATCATGTAAAACAATTATAGGCTTTCGTTTTACACTCACTTGGCAGGACGGTAGTACCTCCCTGGGCGGTTGCTGTCTACCAACCTACTACCTAGGAATAGTACTATTACAAATATAATACTAGTGTAATAATTAAATTAAGGCTAAACCCAAGAGGGCCATACAGCAATGTCAGTGTATGAATTCTGAATTTATGATATTAATTTTTTTATTTGTAGTATGTTTACATTCTAAAATATAAGGTACGATCACTTTAAAAGGTTAGGAACCACCGTACTAGACTGAGGTAGACAGAGGCCTTGGGGTTGCTGGCACCCCAGGCAAGCTGAACTTCAGAGATATTACAAGTATATTAAAAAAAAAAAAAAGAATTCACTTTGATGAAAACCTACAAATCTTTGAATAGTTTTATTACAATTTACAGATTGAAGAAATATTGTTCCAACACAGCGGTAGATTTTTAAATCCTTTCAGCATTACAAATTCATTATTTTGAGAGAAAGTACGTGTATTTTATGGAAAAAAATCAAATATTCATATTCTGATTCTCCTCTTTATATTTGAAAGACCTCAAACACTTAATATAGCACTCTCTTAGCATATGATGTCCCTGGCGACTGGTTGAATTGCAGGTATCTTGAGGCAGCCTTGAAAGTAGATGTAGGTCACTGTCTTATTTGTAATTTTCTTTGATTTTTTTTTTTTTCATCAAACCAGCCGTATCCCACCGAGGCAGGGTGGCCCAGAAAGAAAAACAAAAGTTTATCTTTTTAAATTTAGTAATTTATACAGGAGAAGGGGTTACCAGCCCCTTGCTCCTGGCATTTTAGTCGCCTCTTACAACATGCATGGCTTACGGAGGAAGAATTCTGTTCCACTTCCCCATGGAGGTAAGAGGAAATGAACAAGAACAAGATCTAGAAAGAAAATAGAAGAAAACCCAGAGGGGTGTGTATATATATGCTTGTACATGTATGTGTAGTGTGACCTAAGTGCAAGTAGAGGTAGCAAGACATACCTGAAATCTTGCATTTTCATCAGACAGAAAAAATTACACCAGCAATCCTACCATCATGTAAAACAATTACAGGCTTTCGTTTTACACTCACTTGGCAGGACGGTAGTACCTCCCTGAGCGGTTGCTGTCTACCAACCTACTACCTAGGATTTTGTTTGATATTGCTGTTAATTTTATTATTCAGATTTTCTTCTTTTTTTTTATCCATTTCTTTGGTAGTCTTTCCTAAGTATATTAAGTGTTATCTATGGAGGCAAAGAAGGGAATGTTTGAAAGTATAGTAGTACCAACACTCTTATATGGGTGTGAATCTTGGTTTGTAAATGCTGCAGCGAGGAGACGGTAGAGGCAGTGGAGATGTCCTATCTGAGGGCAATGTGTAGTGTGAATATTATGCAGAAAATTTGGAGTGTGGAAATTAGGAGAAGGTGTGGAATTAATAAAAGTATTAGTCAGAGGGCTGAAGAGGGGTTGTTGAGGTGGTTTGGTCATTTAGAGAGAATGGATCAAAGTAGAATGATATGGAGAGCGTATAAATCTGTAGGGGAAGGAAGGCGGGGTAGTGGTCGTCCTCAAAAAGGATGGAGGGAGGGGGTAAAGGAGGCTTTGTGGGAGAAGGGCTTGGACTTCCAGCAAGCGTGCATGAGTGTGTTAGATAGGAGTGAATGGAGACGAATGGTATTTGGGACATGACGAGCTGTTGGAGTGTGAGCAGGGTAATATTTAGTGAAGGGATTCAGGGGAACTGGTTATTTTTATGTAGCTGGACTTGAGTCCTGGAAATGGGAAGTACAATGCCTGCACTTCAAAGGAGGGGTTTGGGATATCTGGAGTTTGGAAGGATATATTGTCTATCTTTATACGTATATGCTTCTAAACTGTTGTATTCCGAGCGCCTCTGCAAAAACAGTGATTATGTGCGAGTGAGGTGAAAGTGTTGAATGATGATGAAAGTGATTTCTTTCTTTTTTGGGTCACCCTGCCTCGGTGGGAGATGGCCGACTTGTTGAAAAAAAAAATTTAAGAACGTTAGAAAAAAATGTTAGATGAGATTTGTTTAGTGTATTTAATTATTTGGCATAAGATCACAGTGGTAACAACAACAAGGTCAGATTGTGAATTTTAGACCTTTAAGGGGGTGCCATGATTTTCATGAAGGGCTTTCAATCTAAGAAATTAGAATTACTACTCTCCTTGTTTGGATCAAACCTGATTATCTCCCATTCTGGCAAGACAGTTAGTGAATAAATAATGTTAAATGTACTTCCTTCCTTGTTGGGAAATGACATGTGGTAAAAAAAAAAAAAAGCTAATTGCTTTCCTTTCTCAGAACCTGTGAAGCTGTTGTTCACAAGATGGAAAAAGAAATGCAAGAGAAAGAAGCTAACAATTCCGACTATCAGCCAAATATGGTTGAGCAACTCATACTGGAACCTGGTCTCTCCCACAAAGACGTCATTACCTTTATGGTGGATCTTATTCCTGGTGGCACAGAGACAGTAAGGCTAAATGTCACAAGTCAGTTGTGAAAGATGTGCATGTCATTTGATTCTGGATTAATGAGAGGATGGAAGAGAGTAAAGCAGCTGGGACAGAGATCAAGATAAAAAATTTAAAAGCAGGTGGGGATATACAGTAGGACCCCTGTTTCCACAGAGGATACATTTCAAGGACCTGTCGTGGATACCAAAACCGTGGATAGTACCAAATCCTATACACGAGTCCTATATGTACCTATTATAAAATTTAATTGATAAATTATGCACAATAAGTGGAGAATTATCACTTTCTCACTGATGGGAAGCACTTCATGGCTTCTCTTAGGCTTTGAAGAACTGCCCGCTTCTCTACTTTTGTGCTTTGGGGCCATTATTATGCAAAATTAAGAGGTAAATCGTGGATAACTGAAACCGCAGATCCCGAATCAGTGGATACGGGGGTTCTGCTGTGTTTAATTTTGGAGTACAGGTATACACAAATAGCCGTACATAGAAGACCGAAACGTCATCGTAAGCTCCTCTCTTCTGTGTGTGGGTTATTTGTGTATCGTTCCAGTAACAGTATTGTGCCTTTTTTTTTGTTATTTAGTTTTGGAGTAGTTGGTGCATTTGTCCATTATATGCATGAAAGGAGAGAGGGCACCTTGGAATTGGCAGAGAGCATGCATAGTTTCTTTGTATAAGGAAAAGTGGCTAAAGAATGTGTAAGAATTATAGGGAATAAGCTTGTTGAGTATACAGAGTAGTGTGATCAAGTTACGAAAGAATAAAGGGCAAGACAGAGTAGGACTGCAGAGAAACAAAATGGTTTTGGGATGGGTAGGGGATGTATAAGCTAAGTGTAAGTGCTCATATTGAAACATAAGTGAATATTAATTAAAGGATATGACAAGGGAGCAATGTGGCAAATGTAAGGAATAGACAGTAAGTTATTAAAAGCAGTAAAGAGATTTTATGTGCATAGTGAGGCTCTTGTTAGGGGATGCAGGATAGAAGAGGGATTATTTTTCAGTAAAAGTAGACCTTAGACAGGAATATGCAGTATCACCATATAACATTTATAGATGAGATTGTAAAAAAAGTGAGTTCTAGGGTCTTTGGGAGAGGGGGATGGAATAAAAGGTAATGAATTTGATACAAAGTGGTAGTTGTGACATTTGCTTTTTGCCAATGACACTTCTGTTGGGAGATTCTGAAGAAAACTTACAAAGGTTGGTGGAGAGAGGATTTTGAAAAGATATGTAAAAAAGAGTCTGAGGTGTGCACAAGAAAGAGCAACAAAAGTTCTAGGCAATGAAAGATTGGATTATGGGGTGAGTAAATATATTCACATATTTGGGAGTAGACCTGTTGGCAGATGAGTCTGAGAGATGAAGTGAGTCATAGAATTGATGAAGAAAAGAAGGTAGGTGGTGCATTGAGGCATCTGTCAAGACAAAAAGCTTTATCTCTGGAGGGAGAAAGGCAAATATGCCACAGTATAGTGGTATGGGTGTAAAGCATGTGCTTTAAATGTTTCAGCGAGGTAGCAGAGATGTCATGTTTGAGGGTTATGTGTGGTTTTAACCCTTAAACGGTCCAAACGTATATATACGTTCACTCTCACTGCACCCCAAAATTTTTGAGAAAAAAAAATTGTTTTTTTTTTAATAGGAAAAAAGAGCAGATGATACCCAGGCATCCCCAATTTTTTTCATATGGCACACACTGAGTGCACACACCCATTCTGTCATGTCTAGGTGACTCAGGCATGTTGTGCCAATGTTGAATGAATGACAAAGGAAACGTGTATATACGTTTGGACCATTTAAGGGTTAATATGAATGAGATAATTTGGAGCTAGAGATTAGAATAAGGTGTGGGCTACCAAAAATATTAATCAGAGGGGCTGTTGAGGTGGTTTGAACATTTAGAGAGTTTGGAGCAAATTAAGATGACTAGAGGGTATATAAATCTTGGGGAGGAGGGATAGGGGTCATATTGGGAAAGGTTCGTTAGATAGCAGTGGAAGCAACTGGTTTTTATGACAGTGTGTTGGAGTGTGAGCAAGGTAACATTTATGAAGAAATTTAGGAAAACCAGTTACCTGGACTTGAATTTAGAGGTAGAAAAATTGGCACTAATTATTGTACATACAGTAAAACCAAAGCCTTATTGTACTATAGTTCTTTCTTGTTAATGGACCACCCATCTCTCTCTCAGACATCTGATAATGCTGCCGTGCTTCTCTACCTTATAGCCAAGAATCCGAGGGTGCAGGCCAAACTGCAAGAAGAATTGGACTGTGTATTAGGAGATGGTTCAGGTAACATCACTCCAAAGCAACTTGCACAGCTTGCCTACACTAGAGCTGTCTTGAAAGAATCCAATAGGTGTAGTATAACATTAATTTTATTAAAAAAAAATAAAAAATGAACATCAGAGTTCATAGCTTACTGAACTTGATCAGCTAGAACTTACATAATATGTACCAAGTCATTCATTATGATTTAATTTTATGTAGTGTGCATTATTACATATTTACATTATACAGTAGCATGATTTAGACTTTTTTTTTTTTTTTTAACAAGTCGGCCGTCTCCCACCGAGGCAGGGTGACCCAAAAAGAAAGAAAATCCCCAAAAAGAAAATACTTTAATCATCATTCAATACTTTCACCTCACTCACACATAATCACTGTTTTTGCAGAGGTGCTCAGAACACAACAGTTTAGAAGCATATACGTATAAAGATACACAACATATCTCTCCAAACTGCTAATATCCCAAAACCCCTCCTTTAGAGTACAGGCATTGTACTTCCCATTTCCAGGACTCAAGTCCGGCTATATAAAAATAACCAGTTTCCCTGAATCCCTTCACTAAATATTACCCTGCTCACACTCCAACAGATCGTCAGGTCCCAAATACCATTCGTCTCCATTCACTCCTATCGAACACGCTCATGCACCCTGCTGGAAATCCAAGCCCCTCTCCCACAAAGCCTCCCTTACCCCTTCCTTCCAACCTTTTCGAGGACGACCCCTACCCCGCCTTCCTTCTCCTACAGATTTAAATGCTCTCCATGTCATTCTACTTTGATCCATTCTCTCTTAAATGACCTAACCACCTCAACAACCCCTCTTCAGCCCTCTGAGTAATACTATTATTACTCCACACCTCCTAATTTCCACACTCCAAATTTTCTGCACAATATTTACACCACACATTGCCCATAGACAGGACATCTCCACTGCCTCCAACCGCCTCCTCACTGCTGCATTCACACCCATTAAGAGTGTTGGTACTACTATACTTTCATACATTCCCTTCTTTGCCTCCATAGATAATGTTTTTTGACTCCACATATACCTCAATGCACCACTCACCTTTTTTCCTTCATCAATTCTATGATTAACCTCATCCTTCATAGATATTTCCAATTTATGTACCTTAGGTTCTGCTATGTTAACCCTTTCAGGGTCCAAGGCCCAAATCTGGAGTCACGCACCAGTGTCCAAGAATTTTCAAAAAAAAAATTTGTTATTTTTTCTTATGAAATCGTAGAGAATCTTTTTGTGAAGGTAATAAAACAAAAAGTACGAAATTTGGTGGAAAATTGACGAAATTATGCTCTCGCGAATTTTGATGTGTCAGCGATATTTACGAATCGGCGATTTTGCCGACTTTGACTCCCATTTTAGGCCAATTACATTATTCCAATCAACCAAATTCTTAGCTATTTCACTAGTATTACTTCTATTCTATCGATTGAGCACAAGAAATCGCCAAGTCAACTGTTTCAACTACAAAATAAAGTGATCGGAAATTGTTAATTTGGCCAATTTAACACAAAGTTCAAAATATTCCAATTTCAAAATAGGGTCCAGAATAAACAATGTAGGCATTCCTGGCACTAAACTAACATTTCCTCTGTTCATTAGTCATGTTTTGAGGCTTTACAAATAAATTCCATTTTGATTTTTTATTCACATAATGAATTTTTATTACACCAAAAAATAGAACATTTACTGCTATGCAATACTGTAATAATTGTATAAATATCATCACCATATTTGTGAATGTATATTAGACCCACAGCTGACGTGTATTAGACGTGTGAGGTCGTTTGTTTACTCTTGAATATCGGCAAAAATTTAACATTTCCGCTACTTTGAGCTCAGTTTCAAGCCATTTCCAGTGCTAAAACCAATCAAAATCATCTCTATTTCTGTAATATGTCTTCCATTCTATCAAATGAGACCAAGAAATCGCAAATACAACTATAAAAAACATACGAAAAAACACTGCAAAGTTGCTGTTTTAATCAAAAAATCATGATTTCATTTTTTTTCTCTCATTATACACAGTGTGCTGCAGGATCTGTTTTATGTGGTGCACACATACCACATAGATGTATTCTCTCATATCTAGGCCCAAATGTACCACTCACAGTTTATCAGAGTGAGCTGAGCTCATGGCGTAGATCTACGGTTTGGACACTCACCATAAAGCCGTAGATCTACGGGACGGACCCTGAAAGGGTTAATATTTATTATAGTCAGAGGGTGATCTGACACTGATAAGGGCAATAGAGAGCCATGGAAGAGGTATTTTGGTTTGTCCTAATGGGGTACAGCTCTAATTCTTTGAATAAAAAACCCTTCACTTAATGCAACCATTTTAAAAGGTCAGCTAGACGAGACCATGAGAAAAAAATTGTGACTTTTAATTATGTGCTGCTTTGGGTATATAGAACACAACAGGACTCTACAGACAACATTAGTGCATTCCTGAAATTTTTTCCTAAGCTTATTGTTTTGAACTTGAACCCTCTTATCCCAGACACACACTCAGAGAGGCATTCCTGAACTTTAACCCTTTGACTGTTTCAGTTGTATATATATGTCTTATGCGCCACTGTATTTCTGACGTATTTATACGCTAAAATTCTAGTGGCTTCAAATCAAGCAGGAGAAAGCTGGTAGGCCGACATGTGAGAGAATGGGTCTTGTGTGCACCACATAAAAAAATTCCTGCAGCACGCAGTGTGTAATGAGAAAAAAAAAACTGACCGTTTTTTTGGATTAAAACGCTGACTTTGAGGTGTATTTTCGTATAGTATTTATCGTTGTATTCTCATTTTCATGGTCTTGGGTGATAAAATGGAAAACATATTACAGAAATAGAGATGATTTTGATTACTTTCACGGTGAAAACGACCTTGATTTGAGCTCAAAGTAGCGGAAATGTTCGATTTTTACCAATGTTCAGGAGTAAGTAAATCACACGACACGTCCAATACACGTCAACAGGGGAGTCTGATATTCTTTCACTAGTGCATTGATATTATTTATACCATTTTTACAATATTGCAGTAGTCTGCATAACAGTAAATTTTTGTATCTTTTTGTATGAATAAAAAATCAAAATAGAAAGGAATAGTAATATAAGAGGGGCCTAGAGACATGACTAATGAAAAGAGGATATATTATTTTAGTGCCAAGAATGTCTACATTGTTTGTTATGGACCCTATTTTGAAATTGGCATCTTTTTTAATTTGCGTCAAATTGGTCAAATTGCCAATTTCTGGCCACTTTATTGGGTAGTTCAAATTGGAAAATGGGCAGTTTCTTGTACTCAACTGATAGAAAAAAATGGAGTTCTAAAGAAATAGCTACGAGTTTGGTCAACTGGAATAACGGAATTGGCCAAAAACAGGGCTCAAAGTCGGCGAAATCGCCGATACGTATATGTCGCCGAGACCACTAACTTTGCGGGAGTGTAATTCCGTGAGTTTTCGACTTTTGGTGTCATTACCATCGGGAAAAGATTACCATTTCATAAGAATTTTTTTTTTCTTTTTTTTTCCAAAAAATTTATCGCCCATAGAAGGACAGTTTAAAAAAAGGGGGCCCTGCGAAGTCAAAGGTAATTATCCACAAGATGCATTTCTAAGGTACAATTTTTCCCATCGGCAGGAATTCCCCTGGCCCTTACATTTCACACAAAATTTGTATTTATTTTTCGCATTTAAAATTAAAAACCATGTAAAACCCCAAAAAAGTTTTTTTTCCTTCCATTCCCCCTCTTTTTTTTCCCTTTACCTCCCCCCTCTCATCTATGATATTCGATAAGAATCCCTTCTCTTTTTTTGGAAAATTCTCACTCCCACGCCCCCCTCCACCATATACAATTCCCACAAATTTTCTTCACTAAGTCATCTTACTCTGTTCTCACAGTTTTGCTTCCAAAATAAAAACTCGGGGGAAGGAAAGACAAAATGGTATTTGGGATCTGACGAGCTGTTGGAGGGGTGAGCGGGTTTAATATTGAGCGAAGGGTTTCGGGGAAACGGTTATTTTTATATACCGGACATGAGAAAGGAAAGGGAAAAGAAAAGGGCCACATTTTAAAGGGGGGGTTTTAAAAATTGGCCCATTTGGAGGGATATGTTGTGTTTCTTTATCCAAATATGCTTCAAAAGGGGTTTAAACTGAGCCCTCTGAAAAAAACAGGGATTATGTGTGAGGGGAGGTTTGAAATGTTAAATATGAGAAAGTTTTTTCCCTTTTTGGGGTTTTTTCTTTTTTTTTGGGTCCCCTTTATTTTCCGATAAAGGGGACACCCCGACTTTTACAAATAAACATAAAAATGTGTATCGGGTAATATAATTCGGGCTTAGCCCCCAAATGTATGTTTGGGGCCCAAATTCTCCAAAAGGACACACATTTGAAGGGGAAACTTTCTTGGGAAAAGGGGAGTAAATCAAAAGTTTTAAGGGAATAAATAACAATTTAAATTTGAACCTTGCATTTCTTTGGGTTTACAGTAGTCCCAACCTTAAATGTTCCACATATACCATTTTGGGGGCCCTCTGAATCAAAAAATTTGCAAGGAAAATTTGATTTGAAGTTAAAATTAAAAAGTTGCTGATATTATAAAAAATTTTTTCCCAAGTTTCTTTAAAAATTTTTCGTGCATTGTGGCGGGATTATTTATTAAACTCCCTAAAACCACGTTAGTTTTTGTAAAGTTTATTAAAAAAATGAAATTTTTAATGTTTTTTTAATTCTTTTTAAAAACGGTAGGGGCATTAGTAGAGGGGAAAGAGGGAAGGAAAAAATTTTTGAGGATTTTTAAAATGTCGATGAAGAAAGGGGGGAGGAAATTTCAGGGCACTGGCCGGGGAGGTAAAATTCCTTTTAGGAGTGAAGAAGAGCAGTATTTTTGGTGGGGGGGGGGTGGGGGGGCATTACTTAAAAGAAAAAAGGGTTAAAAAGCAGCGGGAACGCGAACCCATGACGGGAAATGTTAAAACCCGGGGGGAGATTATTGTTAAATTTGGTTGGTTTTTTTTTTTAAATAAATGCTTTGAAAGAGGGGGAAGGGTACCAAAGGGAAATTGGCAGAGAAGTGTATATTTTCCTTTATAAAAAGGGGGGGGGGCCCAAA